ATCTTATTGGAACCGTCCAGTTCATCCTTCGGAACCATATCCCATCCTGGATTTGATGAAATAGGATGAATTGAGACGGTATTTTGTAAATACATAATTATCTTGAATATATTAACTATTTCTTTCTTTTCCGATCGCCTGGAAAGAACAAAAGAAACATCTTGTTCTTTCTTCAACAATTTCTGATCTCTAGTGGACCTCTCAGTAGGATTCGACCCCAGATGACGTTCTGACCATCTGTCAGAGAAAAAAGAACGGTTGGCTCTTGGCAGATGATTATTCATCTGCTTCTCACGTTCCATGAATAGTCGGCACATTGAGGAATCGATCTTTCTTTTAGTTGTTGAATATCTCTTTGATTGATCAATGTGTGATATTTCGAATCCTCATTCCTAATGGAATCGAAATGATCCCTGGATTGATCACAAGATCCTTTCAATTGGCTAGAATCCGTTACTTGAATGAAACTAGATCTCATGGAATCATATTGAATATTTGATGATTTTCCTACTTGAGTGCTCCACCATGGTTGAGGAACTATGGTTGGACTGTATGACTGTTGTTTTGATGCTTTGTATAGATGCATTCATATAGAGCTATTTGATAACTTGATATGACTAGGTAGTATTCAGTTATGTTATGTATTGGATTGCATGCTATTAGATTAGTGGCACGGAGCTAGGTTCTGCATGCACCCATAGATGGGTATCTAAGTATATTTGCATGACTAGTACTTCTGGATATATGTATTGTTCAAACTGTCTATCAGGAACTCTTGAGAGTGATATTGGAAAATCCCCAGTTATCCGATTTACAGAGGTTACTCTGTCGGATTTTTGTTTACGCCTAATGAGAAAATGAAAAAGTTAACTCGTACTTTTGTAAGTTAAGTCTTCTGCTGTTTCTGTTTATATCATATGTATGTTAATTGAACCGGCTCGAGACAGAGATGTTACACTGACTCAATATGTCTTCTTAAAAACTAACTCTATTTGTATCGCCATATAAGGTGGAAAAATGCATGTAAAGTAGGAGTTAGGTAGAATCAATGCATTAGTAGCATCAATTCACGGAAGAAGCTTTAAAAAATATTGTATTATTTTAATAGATTTGATTTTTCTCATATTGCATAAGACAAATTATTTCATGTTACACAAAAAAATAGGTATGACTTACTAAGAAGAAGAGAGAGAAAGAAAAAATGGATCTCACTCACTTTTTGAGTGTTGTATGAAAAAATTTGTCTCATGCAACATGAGAAAAATATTTCTTTATTTTAATAACTTAAAAATTTTTTAGACTTCAAAAATTTAAAAAGATAAATTTATTAACTAAAAAAATTAATTATGAAAATATGTTTTAACTCGTTATTTTTATGTAATGTTAAAATTTAATTTTTCATTAATCATAAAATAATGTTTCGCTCAAGATAATTTTACAATTAAGTTGATAATTAATAGCGTTAATGTAGAGCTGGATTGGGCCATTGTAAAATTAGTCCGAGTGTATGGAAATTATGCCCATACGTCCACTAATGTTCAATTCCCTAACGCTTTGCCTAGCATCAATATCTGAATATAGCTTGCAAACCATGCACCATGGATTTTAGTAGAGAATACTCGTGGAGGTTTGGGGGATTTTTCCAGCTTTTTTTTTTGTTTTTTGTTCAAAAAATGAGGAAAACCAATCTCATCCAAGAATCATAAATTTTAAAAAAACAATTAAATAAAAAAAACTTCAATAAGAATATTCTACGACATATCCTCTAGCTACAGGTTAGCAACAAAGTAGACAGTTGCAACATATTTAGATTCTTCAATAATTGGCGGTCTTAGCAACAAAGTTAAGTAAATCTCTTGTTGTCACTCACAAATACTTTAATCTTAGTATTCAACAGCCTATATCTTCCATTTAATTATACTAAATAGTTAAAGTAATCTTGGATTATATAAAGTAAAACAATAAAATCAATAGCATCATTATTCTAAACATAATTGTTTTAGGGTCTATTCATGCATATAATTGAAGACAGCTCTTTACATAATTTTAAATATAAGAAAATTTCCGCTCTTTGTCCCAAGAGGATAGTAGTTAATATGAGATATGATTATGAAGTAGATACATGGTGACAAATTATTGTGTACAAGAAAAAGGCTAGAAGTCAAAAGGATAATGTGTATGCACAATAATAATGGATGATAAGGTATGAGAATGTTCAACTCATTATTTATAAAGAGTTTTTATATATAGGTTAGAGAGTTCGGATAAAATTCATTTTAACTTAAACTTTATCTTCTAAGATCTACGTGACTCTAATTATGTGGTTCCAGAACAAGTATTACATTTTTTTTATACCATAAGACAATTAAAGAAGAAAAAAGTGAATTGAACTAAATGGTAGTAGCTCAATTGGTAGAAAGAGAGTTGAAAGAAAAGCGCTTCGGTTCGATCCCCACGTACTATTTTTTGGAGGGATTTAAATATCTTCATCTCTTATCTTTTCGAACTCCAGATTAGTCTCATAGCCTGCAAAAGTCAAAACTTGAGGAGATACCAAAGGAGTCAAATCGTCTCAAAAAGATAATTAGAGTTAAATTAACTCAAAAAAAGAAATAAAAAAAATTGTGGATTGATACGCTAGAAAAATATAAAGCTAATTCACTTTTGGATCTAGCTAGGATTAGATTCTCTTGCCCTTTATTCATAGGAAAAGCAGCCCTTCCCAAAGATAAAGTCGAAGCCAGTTCTTGCCAAAAACGTAAATCCCGTGAATAACTGAAATGGATATTTTCTAACTAATTATCGATTATGAATAGCTGAATTCCTAAAGATAAAAATAGTAATAAATCAAATTGAGATCGCCTACCTACAACAATTTTATTGAAATGTCTTGTAATTTACTTCCATTAATACTCAAAACTCACTCTCTTGTTCTTATTCAAATTCCATAGCAGTGAAAAACTCAAAACTCTCTTAAAAACCAAGAATCCAAACAAACCCAAGTTGCATTTGTTCGATGGACGACTAGACAATAATCAGTTGGAATATCTTATCCTTGAATCCTCAACTACTTTAGGACTTCGTCTCTTGTGGAAGTACATGACCATTTTACTCTTCTCAACCGTTGCTTGCCCCATCAAACTAAAGCAAAGAAAGATTGCAAGAGCATACATATTATGGACACACAAACACGAAACGCAAAGCCAATAAAGCTAGATCTTACGTACAACAATTAGATGCCTCTCCAACTCATAAGACACAGGGCACCCACCCTGCATCCCTGTTGCAATCAAGCATGCATTATTAATATACTAAGAATGTATATGCTAAAAGATTGATTAGACACATCAAACCTAAATCTTTTTTAAGATTGTAAGAATTGCATCACTTATTATGTGAACATTATCATTTATAACACTTAAAAAAAAAAATATTAAGTAATTGTGTATCTCTTGAATATGTGTTTGAGATTAGTTACCTTCAAAAAACTTCAGATATTGTGCACAAATGTGTACTTTAAGAACAAGATCTTCCCCCCCTCCCTCTCTCTCTCTCTCTCTCTCTCTCTCTCTCTCTCTCTCTCTCTCTCTCTCTCTCTCTCTATATATATATATATATATATATATATATATATATATATATATATATATATATATATATATAACTTAGTTCCTTCAAAATTAATTTAAAAAATGGTAAATCTAAATATCACATGAAACAATTACATTACACATACTTAATATGTCAATAGTCAAGAGTATTAGGATATTCTTCTGTAACTACCTCAATATGGCTAAGAACCTAATGGAAAGAATAGTCAAGAATGGAGGAAAATGTTCCTTATAATATAACTGTAATAATAGTTTTCACCAATTATGGGCCTTAAGTTACAAATACTACACATATTGACCTAACACACTTACGAATTGAATTTAAGAGACCTAACCAATTATGGGCCTTAAGTTACAAATTATATTAGTAAGTTATATAATTTTATAAAAGGGGTTAAATAGATAAATTGAAAATTTTCATAAATGTCCATGTTATTGTGTAATATATATATATATATATATATATATATATATATATATACACAATAACATGGACATTTATGAAAATTTTCAATTTATCTATTTAACCCCTTTTATAAAATTATATAACTTACTAATAAATAAAAAGTCCAAAATTAGAGTTTCATATTGGAAGGCAAGCAGAATGATTTGGCTCTTGCTATAAGAAAATGCTCCCCTGAGACTATGCTAAGTATTGTTAAAGACACTATCCTTATCCATTATCCACTATTGTTTTCTACAGTCCTTTTGAAGATATGGTTTTCCCTCTCCTCTTATGCTGTACTAAGATCTGGTCACTCGCCGTGTTAGTGGCCCCAAAAAGTGCTTAAATAGCCAATTCTCCTAAGTACATAGAAAACCAACAAATTCTTAGGTTTCTCGTATCTTAATGAGGTGATGGTACATACATAGTAGAAAAGCTTGGGTATAGTGGATGGAGTATAAATCCCTTTACTCTAAAATCTGAACTCTCAAGCATAATGTGGAGCCATGTATCCCTTTACACAAAACTCCTAAAATAAGCATATCCCATTTTTCATAACAGCGAGCTAGAAGTACGTGTCAAAAAATCATTAAAGCATAACCAATCCATATGAAGGGAAAGATATGATTGCTCTCTAGATGCCCTATGCAGCTTAACTTCACAAGAAATTTGGTTCCACAAAGACTGAATCTGATCCTTTTCCAATCTTGGTAGGCTAGATTTTTCTAGCTAAAGTATTAGTATAGAAATAAAATTATCGATTCTTTAAGAAAAACTTGATATTTCTTGAAGCAACCAAACTTAATTAACTAACAATTGGAATAAACCAGGGAGCCAATACAAGTTTAAAGAGATTATGCCTCTAGATTTTTAGATGCGGGACCATATGGTTCATATTTATCTGTAATCAAATTATGCACAAAAGGGCACTCACAAAACAATATAAATACCCCACACCCTCTTGTTACTGAACTACTGGAATTAACACCGTACACTCATTTAGTACTTTTGTGTTATCATAATTTCCTAGTGAAAATGGAGGCAAACCGAAAGCGTAGCAGAGGGTTCTTGAAAGGAAAATTGGCACCTTTCTATAAGGGACCAAAGCCTTCATCAACTGTGCATTATACAACTACCAATGTGAAGCCAAATCATTCTTCTCCTTCCCCTGCATCAGTGGGATTTGTGGTGCACCATGACTATGCAATTGCACAGTCAAATCCTAAGGTTTCGATTGTTGTAGCAGACAAAAGGGGTGACTTGATGAGCCATTTGGAAGAGTTATATGGCGTGCCTGCTGATGAAAGCGTGGACACCAAAGCTGGAATTTATATATCTATGGTTCAAGAACGTTTAATGCTTGAGCGAGTAAACACAGAACCGAAGAAGTTGCAAGAGAAGTGATCAACCGTGTTGTTTTAGCTAATAACGTGATTATAGCTGCAGGGGCTACCATTCAATAAATAGTTCCATAATTTGTGTCATATTGAAACTCTTTGTGTAGAGAATTATGCCATGCTGTTGTCTCTAAATATTAAATGCTATTAGTATGTTTGGATTATATTTTAACATGGTTGACAAAATCATGGTTGTAGTGTTTGAACATGTTGTGGTTGTGGGTTTCAATTCAATTTGAGTAGAAGTTGAAAAAAAAAAGTTGCTTTTCCGTTAATCTAAACATGAAGTTATCATTTTCTTGGTTGTAAGTTCTCCCAACACAGTGCTGATAGAAAGAAGATAGCTAGTGGAACAGGATCCTTTGCATTTATTCTGTTGAATATTATAGATACGAGAGGAAATGATAGTAATCCTTGTTGTATTAAACTACACAACATTGGTGCTATTATATATCAAACCAATTGAAGAATACAAAGAGACACACTCAAAATGAGACTTCTACACTATTAACACTAACACTCTTAACACTCCCCCTTAAGCTGTAGCATATAGATCATATGCTACAAGCTTGATACATAAATAATACTCCTATTAGGAGCCAAAAACAACAATGCTACATCAACGAAATGAAATGACTAAGTACAACAAATCAACTGGAATGACCATCAGTGTGAAGAGCTGATAAAGAGACAGTGCTGGAATGGACATCAGAGCATGGATGGTGCCGGAATTATCATCGGCAAAGACAACTGAGCTAACCAGGACATCAGCATCAAGATCCCTCTCAGACATTTCATTTAACAGTTGGTGAGCAGCCGTAGTTTCCCCTTGACTATGCTACAAGCTTATTACAAGAAAGACTAAGTAACATAACATCAAAATAAATCTCCTAAATGAGAAACCAAAAATCAACAATGTGCTAAAAATGGCGTCGAAATGAACATCAACATGGAAGATGCCGGAATGATCATCGGCAAAGACAATTTTGCTGGAATGACCATCAGCAACATGGACGGTGCTCCCCCTCAAGAGGAACTTCTAAACAGTGCCGGAATTATCATCGGCAAAGACAATTGTGTTGGAATGACCATCAGCAACATGGACAGTGCTCCCCCTTAAGAGGAACTTCTAAACAGTGCCGAAATTATCATCGGCAAAGACAATTGTGCTGGAATGACCATCAGCAACATGGACAGTGCTCCCCCTCAAGAGGAACTTCTAAACAGTGCCGGGATTATCATCGGCAAAGACAATTGTGCTGGAATGACCATCAACAACATGGACAGTGCTCCCCCATAAGAGGAACTTCTAAACAGTGCCAGAATTATCATCAGCGGAGACAACATCAGCAACTTGGACAGTGCTCCCCCTCAAGATGGATGATGAAAAGTATAAATACTCCATCTTGGGAAGAAAGAAGATTAAAGAAAAACAAAGCTTCGCGGAATCGGAAAAGTCGCCGGAGACGGCGGTGGGTCGTCGGAGACGGTGGTGGATCGCCGAAAAAGTCGCAGGAAAGTCATCGGAAAAGTCACCGGAGACGGCTGTCAACGGTGGACGACGCGGTCAACGGTGGTCAACCCAACAACTTCCCAAGGATCATTCTTTTCTGATGTGACAGATCAGTCTAAGCTGCAGTCACAGAGCATACTAAGAAAAATCCGAAAAAGAAATAGCAACGGGAATCCCTTAAGGAGGGTGATATCTCTATAACCATATTGAAATTATGGAAAATAGAACTAAGTTAAACGGATTAAGATTCCTCTTGTTAAGCTCTAGATACCATGTTGAATATTATAGATACAAGAGGAAATGATAGTAATCCTTGTTGTATTAAACTACACAACATTGGTGTTATTATATAGCAAACCAATTGAAGAATACAAAGAGACACACTCAATGTGGGACTTCTACACTATTAACACTAACACTCTTAACATATTCTATAAATTCAGAAGATTTCAACACATAAAACCATTTTTTTAATTTTTCTATGATAAACTAATGAGTGCACAACCGTGGATCTTAAACTGCACCTCATTCAGTTCTAAAATGAACTGAAGACTGAAGAGTATCCAAACTCATATCTAATTTGTTCTGCTTTCTTTTCCACTTTCCGAAAAACATATCCTATTATGAGAATGGGTGAACAAGTCTGTTCACTTAAACAAAATATTAAGAACACTATAACTAAAGTACCAATTTAACCTAAAAGTTTAAGTTAGTGGAGGAGGCTATATTAATTATTTTTATATATCTCTAACATACCCTCTTAGATGAAATCTCACTTAGCTTGAAGGGTGAACCCATGACACCCAGATTATGATACCATATAAAGAACTAATTCAATCCAAGCTGTTGAATTGTTTATGTTGCTAAGCAATTAACCACTGACCCAAAACTTTTCATAGTAATGAATCTTTTTAGTTATATCATGTGATTATTCACTTATCCCTTTCTTTTTAAATGCGTGGCTTTTTCAGTTATGATTACTGTTCTGGATGGCCCAAATACTAGGGCGGCCCAACTACACAGGCCCAACCCCCAGCTGGCCCAATCACTCAAGCCCAGCCACAGCCTTGCCCCACGTCAGCCCTTAGGGCTGACATGGACCCCCTCAACCCCCAACGTAGCAGTAGGCCCAAGGCATACACCAAAATGTCCCATCTTGGAACGCTTGCCGTTGAAGGCGACTACGACAGAAACCACAAAGGGAAACTCCCCCTTTGCCCGGTGCTGACACCGCCAGAGTGCAGAGGGCGCAACACTGCCACAATGACAGCGCCAGCACGCCTAACACTGCACCATGGGAGTAAATCCCAAGGAGAGTTGACCTCACCCTCACCAGCTCGCTCCATTTCCCTTATAAATAGCCCTCCGGGGCACACCTGAGAGGTATCTTTTATGTACTGTTGTTATGCCCATTTACTTCCAAGTCATTCTCTTGCTATTAATCTGCCATTACTACTAACTTGCTTGCCTCTTGGAACTATACATACTAGTCTGGTCATTACCTCGCCTAGTGGTATAATCCATATAGCAACATTACCCTATAGGGTACATAGTGGGCTCACAGACCTAACGGTACATTGGCGCCGTCTGTGGGAAACTATAAACTTCTATTCCCATTCTCCTACCAAAGATCCACAAGACGTGTTTTACGTTTTGGTAACAAACATGGTCATCACAACCAGAAGAGCAGAACAAACCAGGGTTGTTACACCTGACGGTCACGTACAAATAATACATTCAAACTCCCCGCCATCGATGCATTTAGCCCCAGCCGAGAGACCCCCCGGCGAGATGCTCCAGCCAGTACTACAATCCGTCGGTCCACAGATGCAAGCAGTCGAACCCAGGATAGCACAGTTAAACCATCACGCGCCTATGCGTGAAATGCAAGGAGAAAACTTGATACAAGACCAACCCCCGCCACCAGGAGTTCGCTTTGGTATGCCTCTTCACACTTTTGCCCCACCAGTCATTCCCGTCCCACGAGCCCATCGTCCGCTACCAGCCCAAAGTCTACCAGTAGCCATGCACAACGATTACCGAACACCGATGGTCACCCCGTTCCCTATGGGACCATACGCCCTATTCCCTCAGCTTTACCCAGCTGGTTTTCCTTTCCAAGGTTACGCTGCCCAACCCCAAAATCCGGCCGCTCCACTACACCAAGTGTCCTATCAAAACCAGGGTCAGCAACCATATGCCGCCCAACAACCTTTCAATCACGCCCCAGCCCTCTCCTACTCCGTTGAAGCTCCTCAACCGCAAATGGACCGGCCCCCCCGAAACAACCACCTACGAGTCATGCCAGCTCATACGTCAGGGCGCAACAAACCCCTGACTGATATCCTCCGGTTAACTCCCATACCCCTTGGTTTCAAAGGACCCTCCAATATCACCACATATGTCGGAGATGCCGATCCTTTTGAATGGATCCAGAAGTTTGAGGCGGCCATGACTCTCCATGGTGAAACCGATCTCCTCATGTGCAGGACCTTCCCCACGCTACTTGGGGGACGAGCCTTAACATGGTACACTACTCTACCGACTGGTAGTATCGCTTCGTGGGATGAGTTGGCAAGCAAGTTTCAGTCTCACTTTGCAACCAGTCGCCCTGTGCCGAAATCCGTCCACTCGCTAGAGAAAGTACGCCAACAACAAGGCGAATCCCTCAGGTCCTTTTTAGATCGCTTTGATAATGAGGCCCTACAAGTGCAAGGCCTGGACCCAAAAGTACAGTTACATATACTTCTTTCGGGTTTACGGAAAGGTGCGTTCGCGTATGAGCTCGCCCGCCACGAGATCACTGACCTGGAAGAAGTCAAGAGGTTGGCCCATGAGTACATGCGAATCGAAGAGTACAAAGGAAGTCGAGCCGAGGACACCCACGGTCAAGAAAAGGCACTCGGTAAACAAAAGAACCAAATGGAAGAGAGTAAAAAAGGTAATAAACCAGCCAAATATTCAAACCGCCCTTCCGGGCGTGATATATCAGGTTGTCAGACACACGCCGTCCTACAAACGGAGTATAAAGAAGAATCCAAGAACACCCAACAGTCTCAGAACCCGCCTAAAGAAAACATCATGTACTGCAAGTTCCATCGCAGCAACGGTCATAACACTGACCAGTGCAGGCACCTCAAAGGCGAAATCGATGAACTCATCAAAAGCGGAATGCAGAGGCGAGGAGGAGACGGCTCACGCCCTTCGGGAACAGGGAGGCGATATAGAGAGCGCAGCAAGTCGCCTGAAAGAAGGAGAACGCGTCAACCTAGATCCAGACCCTCCTACAATCGTGACAGGAGAGAAGATTCCCCCAGGAATCGCAGAGCGCAAGCAAGTCCAAGGCGCGAAGAAGTAGACGAAGATTCAGCCGCGGTGAAGCACGGAGTGATCAACATGATTTCAGGCGGGCTGAGTGGAGGAGGAGAGACTGCGAACGCCAGAAAGAAACACTTGAAGCAGTGTCTGGCGGTTGCTGGCAAAGTGATAAGCAAAGAAAAGCACAGTCCTAGTCCAACAAGGCCTCAAATTGTCTGGGACGCCAGCAATTTAGGCGACGTCCTCCCAGGACATGACGACCCGCTCGTCATTCAAGCTATAATCGCCAACTTTGGCGTTAATCGCGTTTTTATTGACCACGGCAGCTCAGCCGATATTTTGTTTTTACCATGCTTTAAAGCGTTAGGGTTCACTGTTGATAGTCTAACTCCTGTTACAGGTGAACTCTCAGGTTTCAACGCTACCACCACAAAGCCACTGGGAGTGATTACCTTGCGGCTCTCCCTTGGAACGCCGCCCACCTCACGATCCGCAGACATCCAGTTTTTGGTGCTCGACA